TTCACACCATAGCTGTAGTCGATTCATTTTCCCATTCATCCATTCATTGTGTAGTCTAGCAAGTGTGACGTAGCAATGGATGAATGTGGTGCTGAAGTGTGGTTCTTCAGTTTGACTGAAAACACTTACTTGCGTGTGCGTGACTTTCTAACGGTGTTCCTGTATGTAGGCGTTCTCCAGCCTCAGTGTGAACGTGTAGCCATCGAGGCCCTGCAGCTCTGCACCCTCCTCCTTCCACCCGCCTCCCGCAGGAAGTTGCAGCTACTCATGAGGATGGCGTCACGCATCAGCCAGAATGTAGACATGCCTCGCCTCCACCCTGCTATCGGCACCCGGACATTGGTAAGGAGCTAGCAAATATTTTTTGTTCCTGTCTAATACTCTGAATATTCCCTAAAGAAGTGTGAGCACAGACATGTATGTCATGTTCTTTTATCATGATGTCCCTGTTTGTTTACCTTTTATTCACTTGTGTATCTGGATGTTTGTCGTGGATTTCAGATGGTTCACACATTTTCAGGCTGTGTCCTGGGCAGTGCTGAAGAGTGTGATTTGGATGAGCTGTTAGCAACCAGGCTGGTGTCATTTTTAATGGATCATCAGCAAAGCATCCTCTCAGTCCCAGAGTACCTGCTTGGTGCCATCAGTGACCATATACAGTACCTACGAACATCACAGGTATACCTTCAAACTGTAAACCACAACCAACTAATTCTTAAAGAAGCAGAGTAAGTGATACCCTGCATGTCTGTTCAAATACAACTGCAGAAGCAAGCTGATAGCTGTGAATGCTCAAAATACACCTTTTCATGCTGCTGGAGGAACCTGCCAGCTTCATTGGGAGCTTTAAAATCTGTTAACATGTTGATTTCTTCATGTTTGTACTGTCCTGATTTCAGGTCCCAATTGACTCTGTTTCAAAGACTGACAAAAGCGATCCGGTTTGCCCTCCATTGCCGGTCTACACGTTCTGCCATCAGATCAGTGGCGCTGAGTTTGAACAGCAAAAACTGGAGTCTTCTCAGAAGGCCATGGAGGAGCTGCTAGAGATCCTGGTGACAGATCAAAACATCAGTGAGAAGGACAGACGCAAGAAACTGAAACGGGTAACGGTCTACTGAAAGTCCAGGCGATGCCTCAAGTCTGGTTCTGTTTGCACAAAGATGCAAAGTGAATAAAGAAGTGTCCCTCTTCCTGTCTTGATTTGTAACCCTAGTACTTGACCAATGAGTTTCTCATCAAGTTTCAAATTTCCTTCAGTATGGCGTGATGTTTTAAACTGTAACAGTGGTAGCTAACATGCCAAACCCCATGGTTTTAAACAGTCTCCCACTTACTTATGGGAGAGGTAACAGTGGCTGTCTTTGATACACACTCACACATATTTGGTTTTGAGTCAATTTGCAGTGTTTTCAACTTGAAAGCTATTTTCAGTAGCCTTCAGATTCCTGAAGTTCACACAAGGATATAACAAGTCACTTCATATCCTCAAAAATGCTGGAAATCTGCAGACTCAGCAAAGTGTAATTTTCTTATTGTTCTCCTAAGTTTCAGAAGCAGTACCCAGACATCTACAGGCAACGATTCCCCTCCCCAGACCGAGAGAGCAAGACTGACAACAAACCAAAGATTAAACCTCCACTCCTCAACATCAAGAAGACCAAAGCTTTCCAAAGCATCAGGAACTGAACGACTGCAGGAGGCGCGCTCTCGCCGCTTACGTCGTGATCGCTGCACTGATATCACACTCCTGGCAGGACAATTGAGAAGTCGTTTTTCCCATGGCAGCCAAAAGCAGTGTGTTACATTGGAAATGCTGTTTTTACTGTTGTGTTTATTGTAAGTAAATGTAGACTGGATGATTTTGACAGGAGTTGATTTGTGTATTCATGTGTTGTGTATATTTGTATTGAGTTTTGTGTGCTGACTTAGATGAAGGCTTGTGACCGTAGCTCTACAGAGTCGTTCATACCATTTACATGTTTTATGAAGAAAGGTACTTTACCTGTTGTCCCCTCACTTTTCTTTTCTATTTGTATCGTGCGTGCGTGCGTGCGTGCGTGCGCGTCACTTCAAGTAAGAAGCAAGCTCCAAAAGGCAATTGGGAGAAAAATATGCAATTCTAAGATCACTGGTCAATATGGGAGCAATTCGATTTCTTAATTTATATGAATGTTGACAGCAGGAGGGAGTGCTAGTTGTTGTTTGTTTTTTGTTATGTTGATGTTTTTTTGAAGTTTCAATATTTTCTATCATAGATGCTTAAGTTTTATTTGAAACTATTTGTCAGGCCTGATGTTGAGCATTTTCTCTTTCTTTGCCCTCATCTTATTTTTCCCTCTGTCAAGTATGGAGTTTTTAAAACTCTTTTTGAAATCTTAGTTTTATTTCTTGGTGATCTTTTTTCAGGATGCCAGCTTTTTCATATCTAGCTCAGTTATTTAAATCGCGTTAATCTTTCCAGTTTCTTTTTACTTCTTGAGCTTGTGTGTCTCATCCCTGCTTTGTTTAGTGGATTGTTTGCACTTGGAGCTAGGCCAGCATGCTTATGTCAATCACCAGTGTGGTCATTTATACATATTTAAGGCTTATTAGACTTCCCAAACCAAGTTTTTCCATCAGACACCTGATATGCCCTTGGCATGGGTAGTGCCTTGTGAGAGCTTGACCTGAATGCGCATCCATTCATTTCAGTGCTGCATGCTGACAGGTATTTGGTAAACTGAGGGGAATTACACAACTCATGTCAAGTGTCTGAAGAAATCTTAATATTCAAATGGTGTCAAACGCTCTTTTATTTATCTTAAGCTACATGAAGTATTACTTCTACCCTGGTATGTTTGTGTTTACCTCAGATCAGATGGTGCATGCATGTTTAACCGCACACGCACTCATCATCGGTGTTCTGTGTTTTGTACCTACAACTGTTCCTCTACATTGTTTACTATGCAAAGTCCTGGGAAATAAATTGTTTTTAGCTGTTCAGTGTTTCAGTGGTGTTTGTATTGAAGTGACAGCTTTATTTAGAACATTATTATTATTATTATTATTATTATTTCTGGTGTTGAACATCTACCTGGCAGGATTTTTTTCCCTTTGATATTAAATTGATGTTTGTGTTGGAGAGATTTTTGCACTGATTTTAAATTATAATCGAGCAACCCCTAAATGCATTTTGTATCCTGGAGACTGTTTAAACCTAAAAGCAGCTTCACAGTTTTATATTAGCGGGCAGTACCATGTGACTTCTTGTTTCTAAAAAACAGCATCCATTTATTCCAGTGTTTCATGCTGACAGGTGTAAGCTGGGGTGAATTACACAACCTGTCTCAAGTATCTGAAAAAATCTCAACAAATTCAACTCCCAAGTGTCAAACTCTCCTTTTTTATTCATCTTAAGCTGCATGAAGTGTTACTTCTCCCCTGATATGTTTGAGCTTACCTCAGATCAGATGGCGTGTGCATGTTTAACCACACATGCATTCATCATCGGTGTTTTGTACCTACATTGTTTCCATTGCAAAGTCCTGGGAATAAACTTGTTTAGCTGTCCAGTATTTCAGTAGTGTTTGTACTGACAGGACAGCAATAAAGGTACACGATTACATCTGCCTGGCCACCAGTTAGGTAATATTACCTACTTCTTTTTACGTTACTCTGATGCTCCTGGTGGGAAGATTATAATAGAGAATCACTTAGATGCATTTAATATCCTGAATATTCCTTACACCTAAAAGCTGCTTCACAAAGCAGCAGGCAGAACAAACACGGGCAGCCAGGCCGCTGCTAAAGAAGCTCGTTCAGTGTGCCCGAAGTTTCTCAACTTTTTATTACTTGTTAGAAGTAACTATAATCTGAGTGTAGCCAGTCAGAATTAAACCACAAAGTTTATTATTTGCAAATGTGTAAACTGGCAGGCTTCATGATTTCATATTTTTATTGTCCTCTATTACCTCCGTGATCTTTCTTGTGATCCAATATTTACACGATACTTCTTCCATGGCATAATAATAACAACCATATTATTATGCCATGGAAGAAGTATCATGTATCTAAAAGATGGACACAGTATGATTTCCGATTGATTTCTGGATTCTGCCTTAAAAACGTAGGTTATAGCATTTTGGCTGCTGTCTTGTTGGATTTTGTGATCCAGAAGCAGAGATATTTAGATGTGACAATAAGTTCCCAAATGCCTGATAATTTGTGCTAACAGATTATTAAAATACTAGAATTAAATTCACTAAATCTGAATTACAAAATAAATGGTTGTTTTGTGTCTTAATGTTTGTCAGATTATGCAACTGAACGCGCTCCAGTAGACAGCAACACTACGATCGCAGTCAAGACCCAAAAGTCTTGTCTAGATAGCTATCAGCTTTTAGGAAACAAACAAAGAAACACTTTGATACGGTTCCTTGACTTACCCACCTTCATTTCTTGTGATACTGCAAGCCACAGGTGGTATCTCTATAAGAGGGAAAGCATCTCAAACCAATAAGAATTCCACCTGTTGCAGGATGAAATGCAGCCCGTGTGTGTGTGTGTGTGTGTGTGTGTGTGTGTGTGTTACTCTCCTTCCTCACTGAGTAGCTAATTAAAATAGTTTCTCAGCCTTTGTCAAAGCTGTCTGGAACTAATTAGATAAGATTCTTTCTGCAAGCATATCCACCTTCAAACACACTGCTTTTAAAGGCTGAATTTGCTAGTTTGACCCACATCACTGGTGACTGTTTGTGTTCCCAGACCTTGTTTAGGTGGGCCGGAGAAAGTTCTGCAAAGAGCCGGGGGCCTGGCGTCTGAAAGGAGAGGACACAAAGCTGGCTTGTTCAGCTCTGGTTAAGACTTGGGGGGAGGTGGAAGAGGTTTGGGAAGGGGTGCTGAAAAGGGGGAGCAAAAGGCATGAAGGGAAAATAGGCGAGGAGAGGAGGAGGAGAAGAGGACGGGGAGTGAGGAGGGATGGAAAAGGGGAGGGGAGAAGGAGAGGAGGGTGGATGGGGCACCGTTTCCATTGCTTACCACAGGAAATCTGTGCAGGGTTTAAATACCAGCCAGAGCCTCTTTTGTAAGCAGCTTGTGTGAAAGTGTGTGAAGAGCATAGCAGCATGGTCAGCCGGTGAGTAACATCTTCTCTTTAGTTTCTCAGATGCATGGCAGTGAAGACAAACGCTTGAAAGGTTGAAAATGACTTTTCAAGGTTGGGTTCTGCTGGTTTTCCCCAACAACATAACAGAAAGCAGCTGGCAGACGTGCTTTGTTCTGCTCTGCTCGAAATGATCTGATGATGAGTCATCGGAGCAGATTTCAAACAGTTTACCTCGGGAGTTTCAACCTGAAATTTCACAGTAAGTCACTGGTGCTGTAGTAAAATACTCGATGGATCTTAGAAAAGCTCAGAAAAGCTGATGTATGTACTCTGAAGGAATCTTGGCCCAGTAACTGAGGAAGAATTTCAGCCCTGCTTCTACCACACAAATGCAACAAAGCAAAACAAAACTGTGAGAAAGAATGTTGATTTTAAAAGGAATAGAGAAATGTAAGAAAACACAAAAATAATAATACATGACAAAACAAGACCGCTCAGAACCCCCAGAGGAGGCCCGCTGTACTTCTGTGAAGTTTGAAGACAGCTGAGGAAATATAATGCAGTGTAACCTGGACTTTGACCTGATTTTCACAAAAAGTAAATCAGCTCGAGCTGTTGTTGGTATCTACGGTCTGAGAAAATGTGGAAATGATATCTTGACAGCTATGGATGCTAGACTGCAAACAAACAGACAGACAAACAAACAAATGGAACCAATTACATACTCCCTCCCTTTGAGGGGAGGACAATGGGTAAGATATCCAACAAACGACAAACGAACTGGCTGTTAACAAGACAAACAAGGAACAAGCAGTTGAGAAAACTTGTAGACATATTTCATTATTTCTGAACTCCTTTAAGAAATAAGTCCAAAAAAGAAAAACTTTTTGTATTTTGTTTGCAGCGTGGAGCATCCTGCTGCCAGCTACAAGAAGATCTTTGAGTCTGTGGAGGAGCTGAATGAACCCATACCAGCAGTTATCACTGGTAGGAAAGAGCGACTGACAAAAAACAAGTAGCAATGCATGGCTGTGTCGATGGCAGTGTGGCTTTAATCACTAACATTTATGGTTCCAAGACAGCGAATCACCCGAAATTTCCTTCAGTACCAGTGTTCATGAGATTTCTGATTTAGTGGTAATGAATAATCTGCAGTTAAATATGCTTTAGATATTGTGAGAGTCCTCTAAAGATTTATCATTACAGGTTGGGCAATTATGAACAAATCAAGGATCACATGTGGGAAATTAGAAATTCTTTATTTTGCTGAGGAACATTTAGCTGTGACAGATCTCCTGTCTCCATAAACTTGCATCTATGATCTGATGACTATTACTTATGAGTGGCAGAAGCAAAGAACAATGTGCCACACTCCTCTGTTATATGTTCACATTTGCAGTGTGAAGGTGGCAGGTAATGGCAGGTATACAAGGGGGAGCCCATTTTTCTAAACTTAAAAGTATATTGGTTTGCTTTTATAACTTGCGCAACAACTTTCAGGTCATGTCACTGCATATGTTTACAATGATGGACTGTAGGAAAGGGGGAGGGGAAGGATCCAGGCCATGCACAGTATAAAAACTGGACATACAGCTACTGTCACAATGTCATCTGTTGATTTCTAAAGTGCAGTTTTGAAACGTCATGATTGGTGTTTTCATTGTCACCATCTTGAGCTAAAAAAAATAATAAAAAAATTTAAGCAGGTGCGACAAACACGGGCAGGTGTGATTGCTCTCTCCCTAACTACTTGTCAATCACAAGTCATCAACAAATTGACATGTCATTCTGAAACATAGTATAACCAAGATTTACAAAATAGACTTCACTGTTCTTCATGAAATAAGTGACTGAGCCCATAAACTCAGGAAAGGGTTAACACAGGGGAATGCGGGAAGACTTTTCCCATAGACTGCTGTGGGACCTGAACACTTTCAGTAACCACAGCTATCCCCATCTGGTGGCCTTCAGATTGCATGCAGGGCTAAAGCATTTTACACTGGCTGTGTTTCCTCACATGGAATCTACATTTATGGTTTTCTAACCCCTCTCTTGAAAACTTCCACTGATGGTTGCATTGATATAACAACAAAATTTCATCACAAGCGTGCGGTTTCTCCTATTTTTTTTATCATCTGAAATGTCAAATGGAAACATCTGCAAAAGGCATTTCTCCTATGACATCCACAAGTGCACTGCCTATTTCAAAGTCATAGTGAAACAATAAACACAAGTTAGCGGATTATATTAACGCAATCATCTAATATACACTAAAATAAATATGTACGACATAGTAGCATAACGCCTGAAAATACACTGGCCAGCATTATCACTACACAAGTGTGCTTTTTTAAATTACGTATAGTTATTTGTTAGTTCTGTATTTAGTGTTTACTCAAATAAAACTCCTTTGGTGACCATTAGGTTACTCACAGGTAACGTACATTGAACATGACACGCGAAAGACACAAACATTGCTATCACAGAAGGATAATAAAATTAACATAATACTTAAGAAAATCAATAGTTAGGATTTATAATAACATTATTATGTAACATATACGAATAAATATAAATATGTATATATGTGGCATGTATATGTACTGCCTCATGGAGTGTAATGCTTTTTGATTGAATTAAATGTTGTACATTGGTTAACATAAAGGCTACTGTGAAAGTAAATCCTTTGATGCAAGGAAAATAGAGAGAAGACATTAGTCTGACTTAGTCTGAGATATACTCAGCTTCAAGCCTGACCTGTTCACCCATCTACGCAAAATGCATTTTTGGTGTTACTGCCAGGATCAGTCTTGTGGATAAAAATACTGTAGTGTTATAAGTGACACTGGGGTGTTAGAAATGGGTAAAGTTTGATACTAAGCACTTGGTGTGCATAGTGTGCACACCAGGTGTAGACAGAATCCTATAGTCTGAGTTTTTAGACAGCAGAATGTGGCATCATGTGGTCAGGTTGTGCACGGCTTTGTTTGATGGTTTTATCACTGCAGGTGTTATCCCATCATGGCTGGGGGGAAGTCTTCTGAGGATGGGTCCAGGTCTCTTCGAGGTGGGAGATGAACATTTCCAGCACCTGTTTGATGGACAGGCTCTCCTCCACAAGTTTGACCTGAAAAACGGTCAGGTGACTTATTACCGGAAGTAAGAAAACGGATTAATCTACAAAAGCAGAGCACATTATTTTTATATTTCATATTTCAAGTTGCAGTATTCTGAGGAAATACCTTTTAAGAACGTACGTTTCTAGCTGTACTGACATCAGGACGTTAAGGCATTTTCTCTTTAGTCCACAAAAAAAAAAGAAGAAGAAGAAGAAAATCTGGTTCTCATATTCCCAGCAGCTCCAAGCTCCAGTTGTGGGTTTTTATGACATCTGATTTTGGTTTGCAGTTCTTTGCAGCTGAGGAAAAGTGGGATGTTGCAAAGAAACAGGCAACGAATGAAGAAGGCTTTTTGTGTTTCAAAGATTTCAGCCACGTGTCACAATGAAAATTTTTAAAGTAATATGAGTGGGATTCAAAAACAGCTGACATACTAGTTGATGTTTGTGCTCAGGTTTATTAGGACAGATGCTTATGTTCGGGCCATGACAGAGAACAGAGTTGTCATCACTGAGTTTGGCACGGCAGCCTACCCAGACCCCTGCAAAAACATCTTCTCAAGGTAATCCCAAACCCATGCCCTAAAATGCACACAAAAGGAACATTACACTATACAAAAGCTGTCGAATTAAAACAAATAGCTCAATAAATAAATAACTTAATATGCAATTCAATTAAAAAACATTTTATTTATATGACTTAAATTATTGTGCTTCCTTGATTGCATTTAAACGTGCTTTTCTCATTTGATTTTCCATTTAATCAATTGTCAATGTACGGTTATTTCTTTATTATTATTTTATTGATGTATTGCAAAAAAACAAGATAAGAAGATAAAACCTTTCATTTGGCGCGAAGCTGAGGCCAGGAGACTGTACTGAACAGTTAGACTGGAAGCGTCCAACATTCCTGTGGTTGTGAAGTGCACGATGTTGAAAGCGTTCAATCCCTGGAGAAACCTGTTGGGTTTTTTTTTTTCAAGATCTATTTATAGATTAAAAAAAAAATTCTTAGTGTTTGTCATTTATGTTCCACATATCCCCTTTCAGTGTTCTTAAATGAACCGTGCTCATTCCCAGTGCTATATTTTTATTCTGGAACTTCATATAGTAGTTTTCATGAGTCATAGTTATGAATAACCATCAATATTCTAATAAATATCCATGTTATATTATAATGAGCCTTGGTGCATCCTCTCAGCTCATACACTGTAAACAATCCATTTAGCTCCCTCCTTGTAACTCAACCTTCATCAGAAACAGGTAGTTTTACCAGTAGGTGGGTTGGGGTTCCTGAGATGACCATATTAAGGTATCCTCCCTCTTTGATGCTTTACAAATCCCAGGAGTAAAACAGTGTCAAACTTGAGCTTTTGGTTCACATACACTGATCTTATCATGTTGTGCCTGTGTTGTTGTATTATTACTATGGGTTTAGGGAAACGGTTGGTTTAATATAAAGTTTTCCTCGTGCTTGTAATTTCAGGTTCTTTACTTACTTCAGAGGCATTGAAGTGACTGATAACTGTTTAGTGAACGTCTACCCGATTGGTGAAGACTTCTACGCAGTCACTGAGACCAACTACATTACCAAAGTTGACCCTGATTCACTGGAGACATTAAAAAAGGTGGGAGCTGATTGGTTTAAATTTACAGTAAGCTAGAGCCATCGTCATTTTCTGGTAGCTTTATTAAAGCTATACCCTCCCCAAATATGCCAGAAGGAAGAGTTCTAGTTTTCGACATTGCTACATTTTCAGTTGCTTTATTATTCTTTCCTTGCAACATCTATGACTGTTTCCGGTTGTGATTTTACATATTTAGCTTTCAACTTGAATGTCTTCCAATTTGCAATAGGTGGATCTTTGTAAGTACCTCTCAGTGAATGGGGTGACCGCCCACCCCCACACTGAACAGGATGGCACGCTCTACAACATTGGCAACTGCTTTGGCAAGAACATGAGTCTGGCTTATAACATTGTTAAGATCCCACCTGTTCCGAAAGGTGAGTTTATTATACACAATACTCTCAATGACTATCAATGGATATGTTTTAATTGATTATTATTTTATTATTATTATTATGTTTATTGATGTTTATTGACCTTTAAATTATATTGTAAATTTTTATCTTATAGAGACTTGGGTTTGAAAGGAGTATCATGCCTGAATTTTCCAGATAAGCTTTTAAGCACTGACTGTTTGTTACTGCGACGATAGACTGTCAAGAAAAAAGAAGAATATGATAGATAAAAAGGGAGCGAACAGGATAGAAGAAAACGGTGGATAACAAAAAAAAGAAGAAAAGAAAATGAGACAAAGATTTAAAAAAAGAAAAAGGTTTAAAAGAAAAGTTGAAGCAAGCAGAATGCAGAGAATTCAAATAAAATTGTCAGGAACAATGTATATGTTTGTATCTCTGTGATTCCAGATAAATCAGACCCCATAGAGAAGTCCCAAGTGTTGGTCCAGCTGCCAAGCAGTGAGAGGCTTAAACCCTCCTACGTACACAGGTACAGAGTTATCTCATACATGTACACAAAGCCTGGTTTTTGTTTTTGTTCCTTTCTCTTTGTATTTGACGTTTTACCATTAAGATGAACTGTGCTTTGCCTCTGAGTGTCTTTCACTGTTTTGCTTATCTGTCTCCAGCTTCGGTATGACAGACAACTATTTTGTATTCGTGGAGCAGCCGGTGAAGATCAACCTGCTCAAGTTCTTGTCAGCTTGGAGCTTCAGAGGAGCCACATACATGGACTGCTTTGAGCCCAACGCCAGCATGGGGGTAGGCAGGGCACAGGCATTAAAGAAGGCCCCTGGAATCCAGTCTGTTCTTGAATGCTGGAGTTACAAACACCTGCAATATCTGAATATAATTTATATTAGATCTTTTGGACTCTTTTGCATTAATTTCACTAAAAGCCACACAGCTGTGCTATTTACTAAAGTCACCTGCTTGCTCCAAGTTTCTGAGCCTTCTCCTGGGAAAAAGTTAATTGATTGGTCATGTGTGTCTGCTTGGTATCATCTGGTCAGTGAGTATGTGTGTTTGTGTGCTGCAGACATGGTTCCACTTGGCCAGTAAAGAGCCAGCGGGTTATCTGAGTAGTCACAAGTTCAGAACATCAGCATTCAACCTCTTTCATCATATTAACGCCTATGAAGACGAAGGATTCATCGTTGTCGATCTCTGCGCGTGGAAAGGGTAAGTGTAAAGCTGTGTGTATGTGCAAGTGTCTTACATGCAATTATGTGACATCTCTCTCTCTCTCTCACTCTCTCTGTGTTTCTTTACAGTCATGAATTTGTGTATAACTACCTGTACCTGGCTAATGTGAAAGAGGAGTGGGAGGAGGTGAAGAAAGCAGCTGCACGAGCTCCACAGCCCGAGGTCAGACGATATGTCCTTCCACTGGATATTCACAGAGTGAGTCTACACACAGAGATAGTGCAAGTTATTTATGTCATCAGTTATATGTTTGATCATTAATAGTGATTATTTAGCACTGTAACAGGATCCATCATACTGATTAGGCAGGCCACATTTTTTAAAATGCAGAAGAAAATTCTTTATAACAACACAGTATTAGGTATTGTAGCAGCTAGATGGTGTAGTGGTAAGACTACAAACCTTTAGAGCGAGAGTTGCAAGCTCAATTCCCACCGAGTATCCAGTAAGGGTCCTGGCTTGTCCTGCAAAAACCTGACTTGTTGCTTGCAAATTCCACATAAGTACAGGACACTTGCACCTTTGTCGTGGGTCTTACAGTGTCATTGTTTCCTCCAAACGCTGGCCTGCAAATTGCATATAATTACAGGATACTTACACCTAATACACAGGTCGTATTATAAAGTGTTACCAGTTTTTTAATCTAATATGTCATAGGATTGATCAGAAACACTGTAAATGACAAATAGTGATTAATGGACTCATGGAATCGTTTCTTCATATCAGATTTAATTGGTCAGCTCACAGCCTCTAAAGCAAATTTTTGCTACTACAGTATAAGTGGAAAAGGTGTTGTCACTGTTATTTATGTGTACCTGTTTATCTGAATATAGGTCAAGTTAAATTAAATCTACTTATATTAGATGCAATATTATATTATTATTATTATATTATATCATAGTATAATTGGGAATAACAATCATTAGCCTCTCTGTGTAACATAAAATGTACTTAAAAACTTAATAATGTATTTAAATACCTTTTGTTTCACCTGCTGAACTCTTCATCAAAACTGTGAGAGCGGTATTAGACATTCATGAATCAGAAAATAATGAAATAATGGGATCTGTTTTGAAAGGCTAAAACTTGCTTTGGGGCAAATTTTATCTTTGTATTTTCAGCATTTTGTTGTGTGGCAGTTTGAGATATTTACCTTTAAAAGTGCTATATAAATAAAATTGTATTTTTACTTTGTATTGCTTTTATTAGATCCTTACTGTAATGGTTCCCATAGAGCTGGATTTACAACATTGGACTAACTGACCAATTAGTTAGCTTGTTTGTCATATCAGGAAGTAACAAAATAGCCCAAATAAAAATCTAGTTGTAATATGACATACAAGATCTGAGATCTGAGAAAATTGTGCGGCATCACAAATAATTTTAATTTGTGACAACAAAATGTTCTGTCGTTCCATATTTATTCAACCCTAACCCTGCATGAAGCCAAAACATTTACTGTAACCTAGGAATGATATCTCTTTATCTTTAAGCTCCACGGTATTCTGTACACAACTTTGTGTGTGTTTTCAGGAGGATCAGGGGAAGAATCTGGTATCTCTGTCGTACACTACAGCGACCGCCGTTCTTCACAGCGACGGTACTATCTGGCTCGAACCTGAAGTGCTGTTTTCTGGACCAAGACAGGGTATCACATATACACTATAGTTTACATGTTCTCTGTATATTCCAATATGTGTATCCTGAAGGGTACATAATACACTGATTGTTATAACATATTAAATATGTGCTCATATTCATTTATTTTCTCTGTGTCACTCTCTCAGCTTTCGAGTTTCCACAGATCAACTATTCAAAGTGCTGTGGGAAGAAGTACTCCTTCGCCTATGGCCTGGGACTCAACCACTTCATTCCTGACAGGGTAAGAAGGGTTTTCATTGAACACATCAGGAGACGAGGACAGTTGCAGGGCCCGTGACGTTAGCTAACTCCACAAGACATTAAAAGCAACTGGTTGCTGCTTTAGATCGTCAAGCTGAATGTGCAGACCAAAGAGACCTGGGTGTGGCAGGAGGAGGACAGTTACCCATCAGAGCCACTGTTTGTGCCGTCACCCGGAGCTACAGAGGAGGATGATGGTAGGACACATTCTCACATCTTAGCCCACAGAATTACACACTAACACTGGTCTTCAGTGTGTTTGTGGCTTTCAGATCATATTGAATCAAGCATGAAATTAATTTATTAAATTATTGTCTTCTTTATTAGATGCTTATCATTTTTGTTGTTGTCATTATATTAAGTAAAAAAAAAAACAAACGAACAAGGATCATCTAGAATATGCTCAGTGGGTAAAGTGACCGCCTCCATGTTTTTATATACAGTTTATCATCCAAAGGCGCATTATTTTCTATGTCCAGTAAGTGGAACTCCTGTAAATGCTTTAAGTTTTCATGGAAAATTAGATGAGTAAAGCTACATTTTAAGCTACACTGCAGTCATTCACACATTGGCAAGTGTTTGATATACAAGTCGATTTTGTGTAATGTATGTTTCAAACCAAAGTTTTTATTAGCGCTACATAAATCTCTACCTAGCACAGATGACACAACCTAAATATGGGATGCAAACGTATCCTTTCTTTCATTCATTCAGCATCAAATATACATATTTTATAATCTTTACACACCCAAACTCTAACTGTAGACACATTACGCTCATTTGAAACAACTTTTTTGCGTTTTTCCTTATGAACGTTTGCTGTAGAACACGCAAGCAGTTGCCTCCCGTGTCTGGGTTTTACAGGTGTGTTGCTGAGCATTGTGGTAAAGCCAGGTGCGCAGAGACCAGGTTCCCTCCTGGTGCTGGACGCCAGAAACCTGACAGAGCTCGCCAGGGCAGAGGTCAACACTATCATCCCCATCACCCTGCATGGGACTTACAAGCCATGAAGCTGCGTTTCTTCCAAACAGGTGCTTCATGAAATACACCAGTCTGGCTCTTTTCTCCCACCATAGACGAGTTTTCTTATGGAAATGAAACCCCATCATTGCTTTACAATGCTGCTAAAAAAAAATAAAAAATCTTCAGCAGTCTCTGTCATATGTTACCTGGCCACACAATGCATGTTGGTTCTATTTTTCCTGTAGCTGTAGCTGGTGGTGAGAAGAAGCCCAGCGAAGCATTACATCAACCACATTTACTGCATAATCAGTTTATGTTTATGTAATTGTTGTTGTAATTCCACAAATGTACACAGGCGGTATTTTTGCTACAGGTATTTGAAACAATTTTGGTCAAATACAAAAACTGTTAATGTGTATTTGTTTTGACAACACATGTAAAAATAAATCTGTGCATACATTCATCACTCATCACAAAATTGAGGCAACATTTGGAAATGTGAGCTATAAAAAGATGTAATCCTACCAATCCAGTAAAATTATATGAGCAGGATATGGGTCTGGCCACGTACTAAAAATCCAAAACTGAGATTAACATGATATTAGAAAAGAGTTATATATTGGTGCATTCATGTCATTTGGATTAAGCACCATTGCTTGTTGCGTATGGACTTTTGATATCACTTTAAATTTGACTCTTCATTGCATTCAAACTTCAGATTTCAACATCTTTTTAGAAAATCAACAGCATGTTATAATACCAGATGAATAGTTGTGGATTAACTGTACTTTATACATATATGTTCCTAAACTTGTTTCTGTGTACACACTGTGGTTGTTACAACTTAGTTTGGCACCAAATACAGTAAATATGGAGTATAATCAAACTTCCACAGTGCTTTCTGAAAGCTAGCTGTTTATCGTTGACCTTCATGTATATGCAGCACTGTTTATAAGCCAATTATATTGTTGAATTTAGAAGAAAAAAAATGTAGATGCAAATAAAAGCAGTGCTATTTTTCTACGATTGGAAATAAAGCTGGCTGCAGGTCCACAGCTTGCACAAGCAGGTCAAATGTTGGGTTATTAAACTAAAGCAGATCTCCGTTTATTCAGCAGCATACCACCCTGGCATCAGCACTCCCACTGACCAACGACATGTACGTGTCTTCTCGTCTCATATTACATGTAGTTTTTTAATTGATATAAGATGAGTTTTTTAAATTTTATGTGAATGTGTAATTTCACTTTTTGGTTAATAAAAAAACAAAAAACAAAACTTGTGTTCTGTGTTCTTCCTCAGAACATTACAAACAAATGACTACACAAAATGTTAAAATCCATGATAATTAAACTAAAAACTGTACTACAATAATTACATTATAATTTTTTTTCTAAACTGGGTTTCTTTTGGAACAAACTGACAGAAATAGAGTGCACGTTTCTAGTCAACTGTTTTTTTTTAGGAAGAAACTAATTTTAAACCAAAATGCAGGCTGCACTGATCCAACTTTTCCAGTTCTGATCCAATGCAGATACGTAGCTTAAGTACCAAAGTGATGCTCATGTTATATTAATAAGCATTAATCCTCACTGTGAGAAAGAAACTGGAAATCATTCTTTTACGTGTAAGGCTACAGGTAAAAGGAGCCAATGCACTGCTGTTCATGCTTTGTGTTGTAAAGAACAAACAACTGAACTGATTGAATCGCTTATAGATCAACTCGCTGTCAGGCATTCTGAGTGAGGAACGATCCACCACTAGGCTGGCTGTGTGTAAACATCCCAGAGAAATATTTTGTTCTGAAACTTGGTCTGAAAGTGCTGACAATCAAAACCTGACGAGGAACTGTGCAGGATTTTTTTAAATCCCTCTCTCCAGAGTGGTTTGACCTAGCGCCTACATTTACAGTACACAGGATTGATTACATATTTGTTGTGGAGACCTCAACAAATTTACAGAGAAGCTTCTTCCATTACAAGTGAAAACGGGATTGTTGTGAGTCCAACAGGAGCAGTTAAATCTGATGTTTGACGGGGACAGAAGCCTCTACATACGCAGAGGTATCGATTGCAGAGTCTCTGTAGACAGCTGATACCGCTGCTGTTTGATGATGTCCAAAACGTCTCTAAGAACCTGAAACCAAAAAGCAATAAATACAACAACAACAAAAAAGAAGCGTTCTTAAATGTGCTCTCGAATGTTCCCAAAGACACAGATACTCCCTTAAAAATGGGTCATTTTTACCTTCCGGGTGTTCTGCGGCAGAATGACTCCATCATCCCACATCCTGCTGGAGGAGAAGAAAGCTGAACTCTCTTCCACCAACATCCTGTTTAGTTCCTCTTCCTGCTTCTTCTGCTCTTCTTCTTGCTCACCATCAAGGGGAAGCAGAGAGCCAATGTGACCCGGAGGGGCAATAGAAACTTTGGCATTGGGCCACAGGAACAAGAAATTAGGATCAAATGCTCGGCCACACTGGTGAGGAACGAAGAAGGAATTATTACTGTAAGCCACATTCTACAAGATTACAATGAATCGGTAAGAATGATCATTATGTGCAATTTCTGGGGTTTTTTTGCATATCTTCTAGTGGTGCAACGGATCAAAAGTCTCACGGTTCGGATCACGTTTTTTTTCGTCACGGATTGGATCAATTTTTGGATCAGCAGAAAAGAAGAAGACAAAAATTTAACTCGCCATTTACTTATTTAAGTATTTTTTGCCTATTAAAAATACATTCCACTCAAGACTCATTCCACGCAATTATATAAAAACAAATTAAGATGCAATATAGGGCAGTACAGGGCTTTCTATCTCCCACTCCGCTGTGATATAATGAGCAGTCACGGTCACGTAGCTTTCCGCTGCCCTGGAGGTCCACCCGTTTGTAACAGAACATGCCTGGGACAGTTCAGTCATAACTTTAAACTTTTCCTGCTCATACATGCTTGGAGCGATCTTGTCACTGAAGTGGACGCGCGACGGGATATCATAGCGTGGCTCAAGCACGTTCATCATAGTTTAAACTAGTGCTGTCAGAGTAAATCTCGTTAAAATGATGTTAATGCCATAACTGCATTAATGTGGCAAATCTCTGTTAACTAGTTATCGCCCCGTGCGTGGGGCTGCACGGCATCAATGCGTCAACTAACGCGTTGACTAGTTTAAAACCCTTGTTTTGCACAACGGAAAACGGCCTCCCGTCTGCAGCTAAACACCCCAATAGCTTTTATAAACATACTTTTTTTCTTCTTTTTCGAATCACGTGCGTGCCAAACCGTGGAGTGGGATCGGTTCGGATTACGGATCAACCGTGATCCGTTGCACCACTAATATCTTCTCTAAACTCTCTGCGGTAGAGACTTGAGGCTGTCTTGTGTCTTTAAGCAGTCTTAAGGAATAGTTGAAGGACATTCAAATCTTTTTGGAAGTTGGCTGCCTTTTATTCTGTTCACTGTCAAGATGATCCTGCACGGCTTTAGTCATGTTGCGGTCAGAGCTCCTGGCAGGTCAGTCCATGACATGGCTGATAGTGTTTCATTGCTTGCTTTCCTATCCAGAAATGCTTTTACTGTAATGGCAGCATGTTTGGGATCATTGTTATCCCTAACATCACTTCCGGATATGTATTCTCAAACTATGACATTTGTTTATCTTCTAGTTTTTTTCCAGGCATGTCACTTATTTTGTCCTTCACTTCAGATTTGTTTTTAAGAACACACCTCACGCCAAGCTTAGATATTCCAAGTTTTTGTTTAAAAGTTCTTTAGGAAGCACCTTCTTCCTGTAAAAATACTATTTTATGCCTGTGAAACTGCGTCACTTTTGTTTTTGCAGAGGCGACCAGAAACCCACTGGCACATTAAAAATGGACTCTTTGCCAGGTTGTCTGTTATATGGGAACACAACACTGGTTCATCCCTTAATTTAGGTGCTTTTTATATCACGTTTGTTTCATCGATCAGTGTTACATGGTTTAATAAACAGAAAAATGATCTGAAAATGGTCATGTACAAACTCTAGACTGAAAAATAAATTGATTCGCTCACCATAGCATAGCTGTCTGCACCATGGCAACCACCAATCACCACAGTGATCTTGGGAACAGAGGCGGATGCTACTGCTGACATCATTGAACCCTGAGCTTTTAGATGGTTACTGTTCATCTCTGCCTGGGAGACACACACATGAATAAATGGTACTTGGGATGGTTTTTTTACACTTACTGGGGACTCAAAGTGATTCTAAACTCTTCCAAACTTGAGTCCCTGTGCATTTGTTTTTAGTGAGATTGAAGTGAGAGTGAATACCTGTTTTGTGGACAGTGTCAGTGCTGCAGTGGGTGCCGTGTTCTGGAGGAAGAGGAGTGGGACGTCTCTCTGGTTGCACAACTGGACAAAATGGCTTCCTTTCAGTGTGGCCTCATATGACAGCTGTCCATCATTCGCTAAAATTCCAACTAGGTGACTGACGCAGTGAACACAAAGAAAGAATTACCTTAAGTTTAGGTGAAGTATTACTTAAGGTATTCATTATCAGCCACATGTAACAGGTGTAACATCACATTTTAAAGTGAAACCAAAATCATATTAGCAAAGCTACTAGATGAAAGCTCGGGTTTCAGGCTACTGTAAACGCTTTTAAAAGAAAATGTTTCTACTGTTGTTTCAGTTTGATGTCAGTGTGAACCAATTTCCCTAATCTGGCCCTCTCAAGCGCACAACTCTAGCTATAACATACACAACAGATCAATCCACCTACTGCACACAAGGGGCAGCCAATCAGAGGAAAGCTGGTTTAAAGGGAAGCGAAAGGAACGGCAAGTGCTTGTTTCAGGCAGTGGGTGAAATGAGAAGCTCCATCATGGCCCGTATGGGACAAATAAGGATTATTTTAGATAATCATGCAGAGCTACTCTAGTTGAGTCCAAGAATAAAAAGCAGGACTGCAGTAAATGTAAATCGTGTCCTCAGTATTACAAAAAACATTAGGAACACAATGTCAACAATCAGAGTTTATGTGCTACAAGAAGACTTCAGTGAGCGTATTGGTTGTGTTTATATCTTTTACCCATGTATCTTTGCAAAGCCAGTGACGAGTGAGGTTCCATAGCGAGCTTTAAATTCCAGAAAGCGGCTCCCATCTACCAGTCGACTGACTACCTGGGCAGAACAACAGAAACAACCAACTAAAGGTCACAGAGCCGCAACTCAGCATAAGAGTAACAAACTCATCCGACTAGAGCACTTTGTGCATTTGTGTCCGTCACATTGTACCATCTTAACATCCAGGCTGTAGTTGTAACTCTTAGGGGCGAGTCCTAAAAGCTCTTCCAGACTGTGCAGTGGCTCCTCCTCTGCGTTCCTCTTCTTTGTCTCCTCCTCTTCCTCAGGCAGCAGGAAGTTGAGGGTTGATATAATGTTTCTAGTGTAATCAAAAGCCTCCTTCTCCTCCCAGGCAAAGTGATCCACGCAGCCACTCACTCTGGAACAAGATGGTAACTTGATACATGATGATATGAACTAATTCTTCTGATACTATTCAGGACTGATTAGATTTACACACATACTCAGCATGGAGCCTGGCCCCTCCCAGGTCCTCTGGCGTCACCTCCTCTCCAGTAGCAGCTTTCACAAGTGGCGGTCCGCCCAGGAATATGGTTCCTATTCTGTGCACCATTACAGCTTCCTCCGCCATAGTGGGCATGTAAGCTCCACCCGCCGTGCATGACCCGCACACAACAGCTACCTTTAGGATGATCAATTTTCATATCAGAACTGCAATTTGAAATAGTGAAAAAACCAAAAGCAAAAACAAAGAAAAACAATGAGAACTTAACAATGGTAACTTGTTCTCTCTTCATTTTTAGACTGAAAAATTCTCTGCCTGTGGAGATGAATTATGCCAAAATTTTAAATAGAATCACGGTCCTGTGATTATGGTCTCCCTGGAGGGGCACAACAGTTCACAAATCATGAGAATGTTTTAGAAAACAAGTGTGTGCATATGAAACATTTTAAAGGCAAAGTGTAGCTTATAAACAGGAATGATAATCTATGTAAAGACCAAAGCCTTCTAACTCATCCTTACCTGGGGGATCTTCATGGCAGACATGATGGCTTCATTGTAAAACGTCCTTCCTCCGTGATTCTTATCAGGAAAAATCTCTGACTGGACATTTATACACAGACGAGGAAACAGCAGTCAGTATAAATTCCACTAGCATTCACTTACTCTAAAGGTAGAACCCTTACGCATATTAAATCGGAGATGTGCTTATGTGTGCGTGCGCTAACCTGCAGCGGCAGGAACGCTCCACCGGAGTCGACCAGGTACACGCAAGGCAAACGATTTTTGATTGCTATTTCCTGCGCTCGGAGATTCTTCTTTACCGTGATAGGATACGATGTGCCTCCTTTCACCGTAGCGTCGCTGGCAACAAACACACACCACAGGCCGTTGATCCTGCCAATGCCTGAATGATGTTTGTACAGACGAATAAAAAAAAATGCATAGTGTCACACTCTGATCCCAGAAGATGTGGAGTAAACAGAAGACAATCTGAAATAAAGAAATTAAATGAGGGTATTTAGCTGCGGTCACACTAATCTGTAGTCGTTTCTGACCAGTCATACTGCCGGCTGAAGGTATGTCCCCGTACGGAAGACCCAAACCAGCAAATAGTGACAGCTCCAGAAAGTCCTCGTCATCCAAGAGGAGGCGAAGCCTGTCTCTGACCAGCAACTTCCTGTTTCTCTGAGTGTGTCTGGCTATGGCCCTCTCCCCTCCCCCTTCCATCACCTTCTCACTAAACTCTGTGTACCTAATAAATGGAGATAACCAGGGATAATGAATGACAACAAGTGCAGATCTGGCAACACACTGTCACACACAAACAAGCAGGGAATTTATTTTGAGATTAAAAAAATAAACAAACAAAAATCCACTTAATAAATCTAAAATAGTTGATTAGAAACACCAAATTGCAACAAAGCACATACTAATACACTAGGAAATGTGAGAGCAAATGTGTGAGCAAAACCTACTTCTTACACCAGGCGTTGCTATTTCTGAGGTTTGCTTCATAAATGTGTTTGTGGATGGGCAGAAGGGGCAGGTCCAGCACAGGGAAGGCACTCGGCAGGGCTCTCCTCCTCCCTGCAACAGAGCTCATACCGCAGACTGAACGCTGCCAGTACCGCTCAACAAACCTGCTAAACAAGAATCAGGGAAAAAACATTTAAAGACTTATTTGCAACATGACAACAAAAGAAGAGAGAACTGCAAAAAAAGATTATGAAAATCTGGAGATTAAATTATTGTCCAACAGTACACTGAAGAGTTCAAATTACTGTTTTAATTCCAGGATTTTGTATGCAGTAGTGCCAACTCCAGGCCTCAAGGGTTGAAGTCCTGCAGGTTTTAGATATCACCCTGGGTCAGCACGGCTGAATCAAATGATTAGATCATTACCAGGCCCCCGGAAAACCTCAAGAAATTTTTAGGAGGTAATTTAGCCATTTAAATCAGCTGTGATAGATCAAGGACACATCTAAAACCTGCAGGACACTGGCTCTCGAGGCCTGGAGTTGGACACCCCTGCAGTAGTGTTTGGGGGGGTTTTTTTTGCTCCTGGAGGGGGCAAAGCTGTAATGGTACATAGACTGGGTTCTCCCTCATTTGGTCACATCAGCTTAGATTTGCTGATTCTAGTTCTTGTTGTTGTCAATTGTTGTTCTTCTTGCTCTTAACTAACTGAAGCCTTTCATTGAACTACCAAATAAACAAATTAGTGCTCTCTTCCTGGCCAGACATGTGGCAGCACTTCTGCTATAACTTTCTTTGTATTTAACAAAATAAAAATGCAGACATAAGTGTGCACATTAGTTTTTAACTGCTACTTAAATTGTTTTCTTTACAAATAACTCTCACTGAACTAACACAGCCAATCCCTCAACATGTTTGTACCTCCTGCTCATTAATAATTTGTTGCTTTTTAAAGAACTTATTTTAACATTTCAGTCAACAACAAAACAAAAAGTAACTTCAAGGGCCAAATTGCATATTTCTTCACGTCAACATACGGGCCGAAAATTTGAGCCCCCTAATTTACACTGAAACCTGACATCAGCCAGGTTTTCTATTGAATCCTTGGCCAGGGACGATGATTGGCCCATGCGTTAGCATGTATATGATTGGCTGCTTTGGAACTTTTGCCCCCCAATGCAAAAAAGAAATAAAATAAGTCTGTAATATTTACGAGCTTGAACAAATTTGATTAAACGGCAAAGTGTTGCTGAAGCGTTAACCTCTATGTGCCAACAGTTGTGTTTTTGTTTTGTTTTTTATCAGAAATTAACGCACCACCAGAGCTCAGCAGTTGCAAAGTGTGCCAAAGGTCAGTCTGCTGATAAATGACAGTTGGGGGACATATAAACACCTCTTACCTTGCAGTGTAGCGGTGCATATCTGTCATACAAATAAATTCCAGATTATTTAATTGTTCGTAAGTGCATTGCCAATCAGAACCAAACAGAAACTCAATCCCCCTCCAGATGCTGCTGCTTCTTCTTCTTCTTCTTCTTCTTCTTCCTCGCGGTATACTGTAGGGTGGCGCAATTCCGCCACCAACCGCTACGGAGTTTGGATTAGACGGTAATGCTGCTACTTCCACTCCAATATAATTTGGAGGCAAATAAAATTTACCTACTCTACTCTCTTCCGTTCATTTCAAAGCTTTAGTTTCTTATTATTTTGCAGGTGTAAAAAATATCATGCGGTATTATTAAAAACTCACCCAGCAGCTCCCATAATTACTACTTTTAATTTGTGCCTTTATGCTACTGAATTAGGTTTATGACTAGACATGGGAAATTTGTTTTGCCTCTTGCCTTAGCAATGTTTCATGTATTGTGCAGTGTCAATAAAACATTTCATATTTGATCATTTGTTGCTTTTGCTGGTCTTAAATTACTGCAGTATTTGAGCAAAGAAACAGGGACGCAGTGGAGCCTATCTCAGCTTCCAAAGCTGAGAAGCAGAGTACGACAAGTCCCCAGGCTGTTACAGGGCTAGCATAGAAACAGACAACCATTCATGCTCACATTCACTCCTATGGGCCTATGTACCTGGAGTGAAGTCACGCAAGAAGCTTGAGAAACACACAGGACTTAGAGAAGATGTGGAGGGTGAAGGCAATAGTGATCCCCGTGGTAAATGGAGCACTCAGGAGGGACCCCCAAACTGGGAGCTTGAAGGATAAACAAAGACCCCCTGCAGGGCAAGCAGGGATTTAAAAAGCATCAAAGGATCTCATTGTTTAAATGTATCAGGCAGGAGAAGGGTACAAAAAATTTCCACAGCATTGGATATACTGTGGAACCCAGTGGAGAAAACATGGGACGAAAAACCTGGATGCCCCCCAAAACTGATTAAAAGCCAAGATGAATACTGGTCAGTGAGGCTGCCAGGGGACTCGCCATGCACTAGATGTGTATTACACGTGGCAACAATGTCATGTATTTCCATATGTCGAAATTATGTGATAGGGTTGCAGGACAGAAGTGTTTTCTGACAAAAATACACCTTAAAAAACATTTTTTGTTATTAAAATTATTATTTTCTTCTAACACATTTGTTCATCAGTTGAATTATTACAGGTCACATTAAAGTGGGAAAACTTTTGAATCATTGTGATCACATTTTTTAACATCGCAAAAATGATGCATTTAAACATTATATCCACTGTATCCATGTAAGCAATATAATTATAAGGAGGCCTCATGCTGAGGTCAGTAATTTTTAGTTTTCACTGGCCTTTAGTTCTTGCCAAGCTCTGTGGTGCAGTTTGTCCTGCTGCGGTATTAATCTTCTACAAAAAGATTCAAGCCAGCAGTTTAAACTTAATGCCTACATAATACAAAGTTTTCCGGTGGAAACGTGAGTTACTATCAAATTTAACAGCAAATAAATATGATAAATCAAGCTGATTTATGGCAACAAACCTGTGAAGAGCCAGTCTAATGCAGTAGAATTTGCAACTATGTAGACAGGAATGGAGCAGAATTAAAAACATTTATTTTTAATTTTAAACGTAGTATTTAAATTCTTCAACCTTTTGGATTATTTCCAGGTTCAACTTGCAAAAATTTACAATATTTATTTATTAATTATATATAAATCAAGATCTGTAATAATTCATCTTGGCCGCTAGAGGGAACCACTAAATCATTATTAAAGAAACTGTAAACGGATTATATTTAAAGCGTTTTTAATGCTCTAGGTCATCAGAAATACTTTTCTGATACTTTTCAACACTTTTCAAATAAATATTTTGCCTCGTACGAACTTTTAATATACGCGCTGATGTCAAAATAGCAAAACAAAACAAAAATAAACCTATCCAAACACCTACCGGTAGCTTTAAACATGACTTTTTGAAATAAAAGGAACTATAATGAATTATAAATTAATTTATTATTAACACCAATAACAACCGGCTTTATAGAAATGATGTGTAATGATGGAAATATGGTAAGAGATCAGGACAAATAAAAAAAATAAATAAAAATAATTAAAATACACCAAAGACAAACGAAATTAAAATATTTATCTAAACTTTGCAAACTTTACGACGCTGTTAATACTAATATTTTCATTATTGAGTGGTTTCATGGCCAGTAAAATGGGACAATGTAAATTACTTCTTATTTTAATTAATTTTAAATAACCAGTCAACAAATGCGCCAAAAGAGAGCTTCGTGAAATATGAAAATGACTGAAATTAAAATGTATTACATTGTCATACCATAAAATCTGTTTTTTTTTTCCTGCAGCATTTCGTATTATGCCGACTAAATAATTCATTCCATTTCTATACTCGAGTTTGTATCCAGTTCATACATTTAATCAGTGTTTGAATTAAACTGAGCTGCTGAAAATGTGTCTTTTTTTATTTGTATTTTTGCTTTACTCTGTTCTTTCTTTATTGTTGGTTTCAGGTAAATACACTTAATATGAAAGACCTGATTAAAAATGTTCACTGAACATAAATCCGTTTTTCTCTTTGTAGATTGTCTGTGGTCCAGGGCCCCTGGAAGGGCGTCCCTGCTGATTCAGGAGGAGGTGAAGGAGGTGGAGTGTGTGTTCAGTCGGCAGACAGTCGGAAGGACCGAATCCCGGCGGCCGTTTGGAGAGTCTGAGCGGGGGGAAAACTGCTTCCAGTACTGGAGAACTCAGAAAGAGGATTTCGCAATGAGTTGGGGAACGGAGCTCTGGGTACGTTTCAACTCTTTTTAAGTGTGCTTGTGAGAAAGTGCTGGGCTTGTTTTCTTTGTGTTTCGGCCCGGACACCGCCGCGACTTTGGGGCAATAGAGCGGAAGAAAGGTGCCGTGTTACCTTTTTAGCTTTGTGTCGCGGAGAGCGGCTAGGCGTTGGTGCTAGCCTGGTCGGCTGCGGTGCTGTAGCCGGCGAGGCTAAAGCTAAAGCTAATCCGAGGCGCACCTTAACGGCTGTGACAGCGGAGGAAACAATAGGCAGGCACGGCTGCAGACACACGGCCACGACAGCGAGCCGGGGTGCGGGTCACGCTGCCTCCACCACCCGGCTATTTGCCAGCTTTAATAATATCTGTGGTGGTAAATTGATTTTAAAAAATTGTTTGTTTGTCTGGCAACTTACTAAGTTGGATGTTGACGGTTTTCTTACATGTGTTACACCCAGTTTCTGGCAGGGACTCCCGGCTGGAGGGTGGAGGGGAGAGAGCCCCCTGTCCTGCTCGGTCTCCTTTTAAACGAATCGCAACTTCACAGCCGTTTGATTCACTTACTAATTGGGATAACGCTTCCCTTTGTTGCCAGTTCTCCAGCCTTTTGTCCCAACTTCCATGTTACTGGAAGGAACACATGGTTATTATAGACACACATACGGCGTTACATGTGGACCTCACGCCGTGTGTGTCCTGCCTTTATAGTGAAATCATGGCTAAAATGTGAGTAACATTTAAATGTCACAAGTGTGTCAAACACGAGCTGCAGCTGATATTAGAAGATGAATTTTTTTTTACCATCCCTTTCTCAAAATAGTGTTTCTTAGTTGCAGTGTATGCAGATTTTAGCTTCAATTAATCTTGCGGTGGGGCTCCATCCTGTATTTTTTTTTGGGTGTTGGCCATTACGAGCTGTGTAACCAGAAAGGCTACCAGAAGCACTCCCCCTCTCTCTCTCTGTATATGTGTGTGTGCGTGTGCAGGAGGAGGAGGAGGGAGCACTTCATCTCCCCAAGATGATACTCCTCCGGCTGACCTCAGTGATTATTATCTGCATTTTAAAATAAATTCATATTTTTTTCCTTTTCTTTTTTCTTGCTCAGCCCTCACATGTAACCCGATCATCTGCTACCCACAAAGAGAGATCTGTTTGGTTGCCTGAGATGCAAAAGAAAAAAAGGGGGGGAAAGACTTGGGAAATAAAGCACATATGGACTCACATATGATTTGTCAGGGGTTTGTTGGCCTCGCGTCTGCTTTGAGAGTTCCCCATTCAGTTTTTCTTCTTTGGATCAAAATCACAAAGAGATGTGAATGAATGGTGATCCACTGCTAATGTTGTGGTTGTGATGAGTTTGTGAGGTGCAGAAATGCATTGATATAAACAAAGGAAAGCATAAGTCTGTGTGTGGGGTTTTATATGAAATGCTCTGTGTCTTGTGTTTACCACAGCCCAAGCAGTGTACTGTATATGAGTAACAGAAAATTATGAATCATGAGATACGCTGTCACATGCTCCAGTCTGTATACCATCAGTGAAGCGCTTCCGATATGCTGACTGTAGACGCTGGCTGACACACACCGTCATAATCCCCGAGTCCGCTGATGGGATTAATGTGTTGGCTGTCTGATGTCAGATTAGGGCTTATCCTCCACAAGACACCACATAAAACTGTTGATTGGCTGTTGTGCTTTACAGATGACTGCCCCTCTAATGTCAGGAAGTGTGCTTTTATTTTCTGTTTTTGTTTTATTCTAAAATTGAAGTCTCTGATTTCAAATAAGTCTGAGAATAACAATAAAACTGTGTCAAACTAAAAGATTACAGTTGGCTTAAAAAACTGTTATTCTATGTACAGTTGGGCAAGTGGCTGCTTCACCTATTAAGATACTGGCTACATTTTGCTATATTCTAATGTGAGCAGTTCAAAACTCAATCAGATTAAAAAGAAATGAAATTCTCACATTTGGGCGGCAGAATTTAACACTAAGTCCCCCCAATCGCAGTTTGTTTGTTTGTATTTCACCCTGTATCACCTTCTTAGGTGTCGTCCTTAAATGAAACGGGAAGAAGGGAAGCCAGCGTCGTTTTCAGTGCGGCTTTGTGCTTTTACTCCACTCTTTGGCTTTAGCCCAGCTCTTTGAGACGCTACAAAGCGAGCAAGGAACATCCTATTACCTCGCTGGCTTCCTGCCGTCCGACACACACTCGTGAAGTAGGAAGCGTTTGTCTGAATTAAAGCTCTTCTGTGTGTTGTATGAGTGTGTGCGTTAGTGCCAGGATGCTGCCATGCTGTGCTTTGGTCTCTCCGGACGAGGTGAGTTGGAGGCCAGCACAGTGGAGCAGCCAAGTCTGACTGAAGGACAAGAGGCTGACGGGCGGTCGTCTCTGCTGATCGGCCAAACCGAAAGACTAGGATAAGGGGATCGAGAATGGGAAGGTGTGGGGTAGTTGGAGAAAGGACAGGCTGGACATGATTTCACTTAAAAGGCTGTCCGATGGAAAGGAGACTGATTGTCGAGGCTCAGATTCAGAACAGCGACCTGGTTTTAGCTTCGTGCACAAAGGCTCACAGGACTTTGGTGCTCTTTCCTTCATCTGTCGTGCACATTGTCAGAAAAGACTCGCTATTTTGATTCTTCACATGTCACACGGGAGGTGCTGTGCAGGGTAGTGGGGGTTACGTGTAAATGATTTCATGCATTTAGCAAGAGGATTGTTTGCGTTCTTGGCATCAGGTGGCCTTCAGACTCATACAAGGGTGTTTGTTATCATTGCTCGTGTTGGTGATATTTATAGACTGGCCTGCAGTATGTCAGAGTCTAGCGTCATCTATTTTTATGGCACTATTCTTGCTGCTTTCAGGTCTTTTTGTGTCTTTTATGCAAAAGATTAGATACTTTTGAATAATGTTGTATACAGTAGTAGTAAAAAGTATACTTACTATATGGCATTGTGCCATTATTAGAGAAAGACAAAAATCATTGGGAAATTGAACAGGGCTATACATTTTACCCAGGCTGGAATTAAACCTGAGACTCGGTGCTGACAGCTGGAAGCTGCTCCTGTTTGTTGTCTTTTGCAGCCATTCAGCTATCGATTTGCCACCAAACACCTCACATTTGCAGCTTTTATTTGTTCTTTTTTTTGTTTCATCATCATCTTTTTCTTCTTTCAGCATCTCACCCTGTCTCTCCTCTGTCACACCAACCCTCTGCATTTTCCTTCACTACATGAATCTTCTCTGTGGTCTTCCCCCCTTTCCTCCTGCCTGGCAGCTCCAATATATCCACTATTCCTCCCCAGAACATGTCCAGCCTTTTTTCTATGAATTTGTCTCCAAATCAATCAGCCTGAGCTGTCCCTCTGATGTGCTAATTTCTAATCTTGTCCACTTTGGTCACGACTAGTGAAAATCTTAACATCTCTAGCTTGGCCTCCTGTCTTTTTGTCAGTGCCACCATCTCCAAACCAAACCAGCAGGACTCACTACCATCTTATAAAACTTTCCTTTCAATCTTGTTGCTATGCTTCTCTAACAAATCCCTCTGACACTCATCTCCAGCTGCTCCACCCTGTGTGCGCTCTCTTCTTATCCACTCCTGTACATTGTCTGTTGCTTTGGATGTTTAAACCCATGTATCGACCCTCAGTATCGCTGCTCCTATCTTCACTATCTCTGTTTACCTTTCCACCTGTCTAAGTGTCAGTTGCACACTCATTTTTTGTCTTTCTTCTAGTGACTTTCATTCCTCTTCTTTCCAGAGTATTACCCCCCCCCCCTTACCAGGCATGTTTTCCTGAACCTTTGGAGGTTTTTTCACCATTTTCTTTTGTACAATTGAATTTTTAGTCAGGATTTACACTTGTGTAGTTGGCAGTTGTGATGTGTTATCAATGTGCAGCTCTGAGGATGTGCTGTATTGTGTACGTATGCTACTACATTTTGTCCTCTATTGTTTTCTGACTTTGTTGCAGTGGGTATTATTGGGCCATTTCAGTCTGAATCTTTAAAAAACAACAAGTCCCTTGATCATTTTCCAGAGTTCTCCTCACTCCTTCTCCCATTGAGGCTGTGCCTGGTTTTAGTCTGATGTCCACAGACTTCTGATAATGTCTGCTTCCAGTTTCCGTTGACTGTAGCCCAGGGTCTGTTATTCTTATGATGATATAAAACTGATAACTTAAGAGTACATCTGGTTTGCAGCATGCAGAGTAATTATTCAAATCTTATGGGGAGTTCTTAGCTTTAGTTTCTGAATGTGTAAAATATTTTGACAGCTCTGTGTGACTGTCTGTGTAGCATAAACAGAGAACAAATCTCAGTCTTCTCTTTGTCTTCTCTTTGTCTCTTTGTCTTCCACTTTGATAGCGGAAGGTCTTTTAAGAAGGTTCCTACTGTTTAACCGGGCAGTGGTCCGGTTCGTTGCAGGTCACAGCGGGTGCGAATGATGTCATGTTGAAGCCAAGGGCAGTGGCCTGGACATGACAAGCTGTTACAGGCAGGCCTGGCCAAGCTTGTCAACACATTGCATGAATGTGGAGGGGGTGTTTTTGTAGGTGCTAGTGAGAGGCACGTTGTTTTCAGCTCTGGATGTGTGACGCGACTGATGCTTGACGCCCACATTGCTTCGTGGACGTCCTGCTTGTTAGGGTGGATGTCTTTCTCAATTAACTGAAGCTGTGCCAACACACATTTACTAAAGACGGGGATGATGATGAAGGTGGACAGGAATGAAGGAAGTGTGAGAGAAGAAACGCTGCAGAGGGAGGAGGTTAATGATGAGAGAAGAGGGAGGTTTTGGGTGGTAGGAGGTGAATAGATGAAGGCGGATGGATTGCGTAGCAAGTAGATTTTAAAGACTTAATGGGTGAGATGCAACTCTAATCATCCTAGTGGGAAAATCATTAGAGACAGGGTACATCAAGTATGAATAGGATGTAGTGGGTCAAAGCAGAGCATAATGAGTTTAGATAAACGGATCCAAACATTAATCAATTTTGCTGAA